GGAGCGGGAGTGTCTGCCCAGTCCGGGGAGCTGGGAGCTGAACCGGGCCGCCTGCCTCCGCCTCTGAGCGCTCTCTCCGCTTTGCATCCTCTCCTGGGCAGGGACACGGCGATGCTCCCTGGAGAAGAACCGTCACAGCCGGGCACAGCGTCCTTCCCCGCTCCTGTAGTGACCTCGCTGTGGTTGACACAGAGATGGAGAAGTCTGGAAGAGCTCCATTCTGCCACAGCAGATTCCTAAAGGTGCGCAACGAAGATACACAGGGGAGCCCGTGGTGCCAGGCACCGGGCAGCGCTGCGCAGACGGCCAACAGGCCCGCAGCGAGGAGCACTCTGGGCAGCGCTTCCCACGCCAGGTTGAGCTCTGCTCTGAGGAAAGTGGCACAGCTAGAAAACAAAATCATGAATCGAAAAAAGCAGCTGGAATTGCAAAAAACTGACTTGGGCCAGAGGTCTTTGGATGAAGAGTCCTCAGCTGCGTCCAGTCGTGAACACAGTGCGAGGGGCAAGAAATATCTGAAGAATTCTGCTACTGCTGGTGGAAATGTGACTCTTGGTAATGCTTGTTCTAAGGAAGAGGAAAGCATCCAAAGCCCTATAAGGAATGCTGTGGTCAAACAGCAGCTTCATGTGGATAGTGATGAAGAGGAAATGAGAGAACTGATGAAGAGCTCTTTGGAGATTTCCAGTGGAAATGAGAATCAGAGAGTTGTGGCAAGTGATTCTAAATGGGCTAGAAAGGTAAATACAGACTTCACTGGATTCTGTATTTTTATTTACACTTTTATGAAATTGTTTTAATTGGTAAGTCACGTCTTATTTAGTTAACACCAGAAACTAAATGTTAATTTTGCATTTGTGGTTTGCTCATGATATGATTTAGCTTCAATTCACATTTTAAAATGACTCTTTTTTTACCATTATAATTTGTTTTCCTTTTTAGTGCTATACACATAATAAAAGAAGTAACACAAAAAATCTCTTTTTCTTATTCTTCAAAAGAGTAAGACTACGATTTCATCAGGATTGCCTCCTCCATCTCATAAGGAAATTTCACTGACAGAGGTATCTAAAGCAGCTTCTTTTCACATCAAAGACTTGGAGCAAAATGTTTTTGGTGGACTTAATTCACCATCCAGCAGAAACCTGTCAGTACCACATAATATGAGATCCCAATCGCTGTCTTCTTCCATGAAAGACAACACTGTAAGGATCGCTCTGCCTAGAACAGGCAACGTCAAGCAAAGCCAAATATCACTTGAAAGTGACAGGAGTGAAATAAAATCATTAGATGAATTGTTTTCAAAAGCAGATGATGCAGAAGGTTCAGCCAGCAGCAGCTCAAATGGTAAGTTAGTTCTAAAATAATGGCTCAGTAGACTTGGCATGAATTGTGCTAATCATCTCCTGATAAATTTACTAATAAACATGGGCAAATACTGGCTTTGAAGGATTCAGTGTTGCAGTTTTATATAAACCAAGACTTTATCAAAGGAATTATGCTGATCTCTTTTTTTCTAGTGTAATATATTTGTATATTTCTTGGCTTTCGATGTAATGGGCTCAGTTTAATGATGAGTGACACTTCGTTACGACATCAAAACAATTACAACATTTAGAGTAGTTGTCATACATCAGTGGGACAATAATGGGTCTGAGTGAGAACAAGTGTCAACGAGGGGCAGCAGAAAAAAAAACTTGGGTTAGCAGATCCCTTAACAGGCAAAGGAGGAAACTTCACAAAGAGCTGCTGCTGAGTTGGAGTGAGTGACTGCTGTTACTTTTTAGTATTACACTTCAAACAATCAATGTAGTACTGATTTATTCCCCCCACTTTTCTCACTTAAGGGGAATTGTACTGTAATTTCCATGCAAGTTCTCATGACAACATGTTATTTGATTGCAGACTTCAGACTGAATATCCTGAGCCTTGATGATTTGGCACCAGATATCACCAGTGAGACAGCAGAATTAAAGCAGAAAGTAAGTAGAAGTTCTTTACTAGCACTTACTTCCATTCTGGCTTTGGTGGAAGGTGGAGGCTGAGGTGGGCATGTCTCACTAGCTGCAAGGGATAGATCAGGATTTTACAGTCTACTGAAGCCTGACCAAATTCTTTTGTTAGTGTTTGCATTTCCTCAGTAAATATAACAACAGTGCACAGTTTGCAAGGTGACACAGAGGAGCAGCATTTCTAATTCTTAACAAAGTAGCAGCTAACACTCAGTGATACAGATGAAGAATAATGGAGACGTATTCTAGGTTATATTTTGTTGATTCTCCTCACAAACAACTGTTTTGTTTTACAGGGGACAGACATTCAAATTACTCAAGAATCAAACAGAGATCCAAAAAAAGATACATTCCTGGTGGAAAGAGACCAAACATCTCTCAAAACAAGTGCAGTAAATGGTGTGAATGATGCTTCTGAAGAGGATACTGAAAAAAATGTGACTGAAGCTGAAATCTCTGAGCATTTAAGTGGAGTTTCTGAAGATTTGCATAGACACAAACAGGATTATCTTGGTCATGATGACAGAACTGTTAATTCAGAATATTCTGAAGACTTTGAAAGCTGTCTTTCTACAACAGATAGGGAATCTGTATCGAAAATGTCAGAGGAACATTCTGAGAGCTGCACGTCTCCTGGAAAACACCCGTCCTCAGCATCGTCACCTTTCATCACCAAAGAGCGGCGTGACCAGGTACACAGAGTAACCGTCAAAGAAACTGCAGTTCAGACAGTGGATTCTCCATTCACCTATTGCTGGTCAACGAGTAAGTTCATACAATATTGTCCTATTTAGGAAATTTTTACATTTTCATATTTTATAAGCTGGTCTAGTCAGCACTGGTAAGAGTTCTTAGCTTCCCTTAGCTGACATTAAATTAAAAACTTTCTAAAGCCCAGCACTTTAATCTGCTGTCTGTAGAAACAACTGGGATTGGACAACACAATAAGAACTTGGAACAAACCAAAACAACAATTAAAAAACCCCCAAAACCCAAACAACCCAAAAAAATACCCCAAGAAACAAACCACCAGGAACTCTGGATGGATGAGCTCGTGTTGGTGACAGAGCTTGCAATAGCCCAAGTAATATTCCCAAACAGAATTCCACATTTGATTGTATCTTTACTATGGTAAGCAATACTATTGTATTGTTAGTAAAGTGATCACCCAGCAGAGTTCTTTTTTTTGCATTGTCTTTATTTCTTAGGAAGGCACCGTGGCCCCATTTACAAGGGACAGATGTGACCACCAGATGTGACCCTGTTTCTGAGGGATAGCTCTTTTCCTACCTTTCAACTTAAAGGAAAAAGTGGTTAAGAGTCACTTCCTGCCACACTCAAGGAAGAGAAAATAGAAACTGGGGTGTTTTGAATCAGTAGCTTCATTCAAGTAGAAAAGCTTTTACTTTTACTTTGTCTAGGGTTAGAAAAACCGCCTCCCACCATGGTGTGTGTTGTGAACGTGAGAGTAAAGAAACTGCAGGTCATAGAACTATTTTAGCATTTTTTTTTGGCTGACAGAATTCCCTGTCAGGTTCTACAGCAACTGGTGTCCCAAGAGGCTGCTGAAGATGACCCGAGTTCTAGCACTAAACCTTTCCACCCTCCAAACCCAGCAATTCTTGTTTTATCCTGTACACAGGAAACGCCACTGCGGTACTTGACCCACCTGTAGGAAACAGCTACGTTGATCCAGTACCTATTGCCAGTCACATTGTCAGCATGGATGCAGTAGAAGGTACTGAAAAAAACATGTTTCTTACTATTCTGTTTTACTATATTTTATGCCTCTAACCCCTGCCTGGATTGTTTAGCCCTTACTACCTGACTGATGTATCGCTGAAGTACACAATTCTCCTTTCTTGCAGCCTTGACAGCATACAACCCATCGGTTCTTGTTTTAAACTCCATGTTGAAACAGCACTTGATGTTGACTCAGCAGTTTGTAGAGAACATTCAACACCTTCACCTCTCCCTTGTGGAGTCGTTAGAGAATGAGAAGTTCCACTACCATTCCCTGGAAGAGGCTAAAGAGGTATCTATGATAGACTAGACAGCAGCCTACATAGAGTTAAGTGTATATTCCTCTAGTATTTGCAGCAAACAGGTTTTCTTCACATATTAGTCATTAATCAGATAAAGTTCATATTATTATTGAATAAATTACTTCACAGAAGAAGGCTATAATGCTTGTGCCCATATTAATAGAACAACAGGACTTTAGACAGGAACCAAAAGACTAGTCTTACTCGAGGCCGTAGTTTTGAAATAAAGAGGAAGCTTTCTGCTGTGCCATCTAGCTGTCCTCAAACAAGCAAGAATCTCCTAATGCTGCAGCAAAAGCATCAGTTTCTGTTGCTAATATAGAAAGGTGCAGGTATCTTGACATGAAGATTTATTATTCATTAAATACTTTCTAGTATTTATCTATCTACATAATAAAGAAATTTGTATATTACCCTTTTATTTTGCAGTACATCAAGAATCACAAATCCCCACCTCTAACAATCGAGCAAGCACGTCAAGAAATTTGGAAAGCACAAGAGGAAAAACTGCTGTGACTCTTTGAATTTTAAGTAAAACTTACATTTACAGATCTCAGGCTGGAACAAGAAACCCTTCCACGTTGTACAGATAAGTTATAAACTATGTACTGGAAGGAGTTGTACTAACTGCTTGGTATCATATTATACATAATCTGTTTTCCTACCTGAATTTTTTACTAATGTACATGATACAGGGAGAGGCAGGAGTGTTCAGCAAAAAAGAAGCCAAGAAAACACTTCTCTCTGGAGGGAGTGTGGTAAGTCATCACAGTATGTGTGTTTACCATGTAAATTGTGTGATCTGTGATCATGGTAGAAGTGAAAATCTGTAGAATATGGAGTAAGAATCTAATCACAGCAGAACACACCGTAGCCTGACTTTAGTGTCATATTTTAACAGTTTTTATATATAATTAGCTTTGTCAGATTACTACACAACCAAACCCACACAAAATTAAGATTAATTAAGTATAAGAAAGGCTTATAGCCAACATACTGAAATCCAGTTACTCTGAAATATGAGCCACCATTTTACTTTTATTTTTAAAAAAAAAGTGTTTATTGGGAGGGCAAAACAATAAAATTCACAAGTTGATAACATACAGGTGTTGTATGCCGATTCACAGACAGTTACAGTTCCACAACTACAGTAGATCTAGAACAAACTGGTATTTCACCATATTAACTGAATGATGGTTTTTAAGAGGGTTTCTGCTATACAAACAAACGACTCTGGAAGAGGTTACCACCACGCAGACCTCTGGAGTGGAAGTGCAGTGTGAGGGACTAACATCTTCAGCTGGTGGGCTCTGGAAACAGTTACAAAAGGGTTTTTTTTTCTCCCCCCCCCCCCCACCCCATTTAGATTAAAGGAAGTTTCCAAGAACATTTTAATTGTTAGAAACTTGCAGAGCAAATGGATTCTCTTCTATTCAACTAATTAGCTTTTATTAAAGGGTATATACAAAAATATAAAAAGCTTAAAGAATGTCTTCCATTACAAAGCATTGACCATCCCTTAGAGCGCTTGAAAAGCTACAACAGTTAACCCTCGTGTTCTGACCAGAGTTGTGACTGCAGCAGCTGGTGTGTAGGGGTGTTAAGTTGTGTGGTAGGTTCTAAACAAGCTTGCACAGTGCTCATAGGTCACCTGTACTGGAATTAGATGCTTCATTCCCCATTTAGACATTAGGATACACTGCTCAGCATCAGTCTGACTTGATCCCAAGGCAGCACCCCTCCACTTCAAATAGAATTAACCTTTTGAGAGAAATAAACATAAATTATGGAACTAGAGAACATAGAACCACATCAGATAATGTCTGTATTCCACAGGAATGAATGAATCACAATTCTGCACCAGGGATAGCTTGACTGGGGTTTAATTCTAGTATAAAATGGGGAACTAATTAAAAAATTTTGCAAAATAAATGGAAATTCTTAAACTTGCTAGACATGTCATAGTTACGACTGGCCTTTTTTAAACACTAAACGACAAGCGTTGAGGTACATGTCATAGCTTTCCATTTTTCACCATAGTTTTAAAAAGTAATTCATTTGTCACTTCCTCCAGACTTTAATCCGGATTTCTACAAGTTTAGTATTTTGTAGAAGATGCATGACATCTTTCTTCAGAGAGTCTTATTCGGGTGGTGGAGGGTCTTGCGTTTCACGCTTCACTGAAACAATAGGGAAAAGAGTTCTTACACATTCTGCAGTTACCTAAGCTGTCTGAAATGTTTCATGGAATGAGGGCTCTATTAATAAGGAGTTTTTGCTTTTGGGCCTTATTTGAACCCATTTTATTACATGCATCTACTGCAGCCATAGGCAGAAGTGACTTTTCATGTGGCATGCCAATTTGTTTTTCCTTTTAGTCATTGGCAAGTGCACATAACACAGACTCTCTGCAAAAAAAAATAAAATCTATCATTTGGGTAATTGTCTTAACCTCTTAAGAAGGATCTCCTCCAGTTTTTCTGAACCCTTCCTGCACTACAGTGAATTTATTACCAGTTCTGGCTTTGGCAAAACACAGCACTAATTGTAGGAAGCTTGGGAGTTGGGCAGGGCCAAACAGTAAGTGTGGTGTAACTTCATTCCAACCACAGAGACCCTCCTGCTCCGACAGCTGCCCCCCTCCTGCGGTTCAACTACCTTTGGGATTGCTCCTGTTTTTGGAAAGGTAACATTGAGAGATGCAGGCTCTTGGTATTGCAGCCAGGAAGTGGCTAATTAATTAATGTTTCAGAAATAAGAATACAACACAACCCCTGAAAAGGAAAAGATGCTGAGTAATCAGAGGATATGTCTACTTACCTGTGGGTTTACTGTATCCATCACAATTAGAAAGAATTAAGAGTTCCCAGTCTTTTGGGTTTTACAGTAAATGAGAGAAAATAACTTATCAAGTCTGCACAGTTTTTTAAAATTGCTTAGAAACATTCACTTACATTCATCTCTGGCCTTCATGCGTGCGATAAACGAGTAACTTTTATTTCTTCGGTAGTTTTCGTAAGGGTCATCTAATGCCACTCCCACTCCTTTATATTGATCCCATTTGTCTCGGATATCTCCTCCTTTAATTGGATCCTGAATTCCTTGTTCCTTGGCTCCCAATCCACCGGATCCACTCCACCCTGCAGTAAGGACACACCATTGCCATCCTGTAACTATTTTTTTTATTACTAGAATTCTGAAGACAATAGACATTTTTGGAAACAACCAAAGAAAGCACCAATTTGATCCAGCAGGATGGTAACAGGCAGCCTGAAACAACCCATGAACTGTCCCATTTGTTTCAAATCTGCAGAGATTCTGGGAGCTGACAAACATCAGCACTAGCCCTAAAAACTTTTAAGAAGGCAAGGGGAAGGACAATGCAAGCCCAGTCCAGTCAGCCCTGCTGATCTACACCCTAGGGAGATGAAATACCGTGGGGAGGCAAGTTCTGTTTGATGCCAAACTCACATCTCTGTCTTCCATATCCTTCCCAGAAAGGCAGCTACCACCACTGCTCCGTGTTCTCTGTACTTAATCGCTGAATGTCCCTACGCTGCTCTTGGAATACCAAGGGATAATTATTTATAAAAATGCATTAATTAATTGTATCCAAGAGTTGGACACCTGATTTTGTTTCCTGGCTTGTGCCAGATTCCAGAACAGCATCTTACCCATTTTCACGAGCATTTGATGGCCTTTATTTTCTTCTCCAAGTCTTGATTCTGGTATAGGAGGCCCAGAACTGGAGCCCAAACCAGCAGAAGAACTAAGGAAACAGAAAGAACAAATTATGAACAAGCGATCCTGTTCTGACCCAAAGCAAGGTCATTTATATTCTATTAAACATCCAACATAGTCCCATCCACTCTACTAAGCTATTCTTTTATAAAACTACAGATTGAGGAGTTAGAAAGGTGCCAGAACCACCCTAAATGCTTCCCAGGAAATCAAACCCTCCAGCCTTCCTAACACAGAGAGCACTCCGAGGATTTCTCCTGCTGCTTCCCAGGAAGGCACACGAGGCCTTCACAGATGCACGGAGTGTTGTTGCAACAAAAACCCACCACAGCAGAGCAACATTCTCTCTGTAAGCACATACAGCATATAAAGAGTTTCTAAATCTGCTTTCCATCTCCTTTTCTACTATTTGTTGAAATGCCCAATATACCCAGCTTATGAGAAAAGCCACCCTTGTCAGTACTTTTCCAAACAACTCAGGTAAAAAGAGAAACAAACAAACAAAAGCTTACGGAGGAGTGGGGCTGCGAGACCGGGACCGGCGCCGCCTTCCTGGCGAGTACGATTTCGATCTTGACCGTGACCGCGATCGCGAGCGGCTGTGAGAAGAGCGGGACCTGCTCCGGCTCCTGGAAAGGGAGAGCACACGAGATCAGATGCCCAAGTTACCAGAGCAACGTCCAGGGTTCATCATTCATCCTGAGGGTTGTTTTTTCCCCACCCCTCCAGTCCCCAACATTCAGCCCACTGCACTCTACCTGGACTGAGAGCGTGAATAGGACCGGGATCGAGAGCAAGAGCGAGATCGTGACCTCGAATAGGAGCCAGATGATTTTGAAGATCGTGAATTGGACCGGGAGGATGAGCGACCTCGGCTTTTAGACCGACTGCGAGACCGAGAAGGCCCACTGCACAGACAAAGCCAGAGAAACCCCAGTGAAACTCCTGGGAGAAGCATGACAAACACAAATACACTTCTGATCAAATTCCAGTTACACACAACCACTGGATTTCTGCACAGTCCAGAAATCTTTGGAGTGGCAAAAACTATTTTCAGCAGATGAGAGAAATTCCAATGAGTTCAAACTCAGTTATTCCATCAGCATGTTGCTGAACAGACTTTCCCCTCTGCATTTAGCCCAAGGTATTGCTAGCACCTTCCGAACGAAGATCATGCATCAGAAGGCAGCAGACAGGATCTCTCACCTATTTCTCTTCTCCTGACCTTTCCTCCGCCTCGCTCTCATTTTAGCTCTGAAGAATTCGTACAGTCCGTTCTGCTCCCAGCCTTCACTGCAATAAATCAACCACACACAGAACCGACGTCTGTAAAATTCTACTTTGATCAAACGGAGACGCTCAGGATTTCCTCTAGATATCGCAGGGAACAAAGGGCCTGGGCAAAAAGGTCTCACAAATCTCAGTGTAAGATCAAACAGCGTGTGCAGTTTAAAATACAACACGAGCACTCATTTCAGCATTAGAAGAACCAAGACACAGGCGAAGGAAGAGAGAGGCACTTCGTGGATTGAGACAGCTTCTTAGGGCATTTTCCTTACCATATTGTTAGCTATACCTACTCTTACCTGTTTCTAGGCCTGTCATGAGATGGTGGACTATAAAATGCCTCAACCGCAGCCAGTAGTCTCTCACTGGGGGGCATTGGGGGTGGAAGACGTATATCTTTAGGATCTAAAGGTTTATACTCATGATCTTCAAGCTGCCGGAAACAAAACAAATTACATTCGTGTCATGTGTCATGGGGTGGCTACCTG